TCAGATCATTAACATTGCCTTAATATATTAACATGAAACCGCAGTAACGATTTCTTTACAACGATCGACAAAACACTGTAAGTGCTTGAATACTTTTTTGTCCTCATAATTCCCTATTCCTATGATTAATAAGTAGAGGAATTAGGAAAAGAATTGTTCAAATGAAATATATAAAAATCAGAGTTTAATAAATACAACTGCGATAATTGTGGTTAATACCACGTGTCGTAGATCGCCATGATTACACCAATCAAAATTGCCACATCCAAAATTCCTACTCCTTAGGCACGTATGCACATATACATTATACTTATGTACGTACATACGTATGACCCTAACATAAACACAAAAAAATTCTTTCATCAAACTTAATAATGTTGAATAAAAAAATTATTCTATATACATAATCAGGTGTAATTATTAATCAAATGTCATAAATATAGTAGTGTTTTATAATCCATTATAGGGTAACAAGTAACAAGTTATTATTTATTTATCGTGCAGAAAAAAAATCTCAAATTTTGCATTTATACTTTGTGATATCCTACTTTCAAATGAAATTCCATTATTGATTCTTTGAAAATTAATTTGTAAATCTAAATGAAAAAGATTCCCTAAAAAAATCTCATCTATCGAACGATAAAATCAAATCTCTAAATGTAATTCTGAAATTATAGTTTTTTTTTTTTTTTTTTTTCTTTTTTCTTAATTTTTTTTTATTTTTTCTCTTTTTTTTTTATTTTTTTTATTTTTTATTTTTTTTTTTGAAAATTTTTTTTGAATTTTTTTTTTACAAAAATTATCTAGCTCTAAGTCTTTCTAGTTCTTAGTCTTTCTTCTCTTCACTGTTCCAACAGAATTAGTTATTGTCCTTTTTTGTTTGAGCTTTTTGACATCATATGGTAATGAATTATTAATTAATTGGAGCATCGTATCAGGATTATTGTCCGTTATTAAATCATAAATTCTGAATCCCGTATAATAATCATCATCATCAGAACTAGTAGCCACTTCCATATCTTCATCTGAATCTCCTGCCAAGGATGACTCAACTTCAGATTCTGATTCTTCCGAAGATGATCCAATTTCAATTACATCTTTAACAATAGGTAAACAAAACGTTTCTGAAGTATAAACAATATTTAAGTTTTCTTGAACATTAGGTTGAAAATCTTTATATTTTTGTACTTCCCACATGGATTTTCCCAAGTCTATTTCTTCCAAATCAGATACTTCACTTCCTAATTCTATATCTAATGAAGATGTTGGAGACAACGCATTTACGTCTGTGTAAAACGAATGATTGGCTTGAAGGTTATGACACGGTGTTTCGTCGTCGTCGTCCGGAATTGTGATGATTTCTGGTACATGAGTACTATTTGAGTTACCAATTAATTTTTGAGTACTCATGTATTCATTTCTTTCACTCTCGTTTTCCCGATCGGAAGTAAGTTCACGATCAATCGAAATATTCGGTCTACGTTCATTCGATTCTGTTTGAATTTCTCGACAAGAAACTTTATTATCAATTTTCTTAATAGACGGCGGAATCAGTCTATCAGTTACCGATTTAGTTAATGATGTTTTGTTGGAAGTTGGCGTAATATTTGTGGAAGAAATAGTTGGAATTCTTCTGATGTCTTCTGGAATTTTGGTAATATTGCATGTTTTTGGTGCTATGTAAACGTCATCAGTCCTATATTTGGGAAACCTCGAGTCGATCATAGAGCGTTCTACTGTTGATCCATCTGGCAATTCTTCATAAACTATTAAGTACATTGGTAAGGTTTTTTGTCGTCGACGTCGTTTTAAAATGGGCGTAGAATCTATTGGAATTGATTTTTGAGAAGCGGTGGACTGATAAGTTTTTAATCGTTTATTGGATAGTTCGTTAATCAGATCGTTGGATTGATTTTTGGATGACATCTTC